TGGGATGCGGTCAGAGACGTCTGACCGTGTACCTGCCAAGAAACTGTTGATCACACGCTGTCCACTCCTTTGTTTTGATTCATGGCTCTTTCATGATACCTTCCCCACAAACAGGTTTCCCACAGCCACTCTTGCAGCTGATTTGCGCCGCTTCATCACCGCAGTCAAGGGAAACAACCTTTGTTAAAACACCTACAATTTCTCGGACTTTTCGCCATGCTGTTCCACCGCCTTCCTTCCCAACGTGGCAATTGAGTCTAACTGAAAACCAAGTTCGAAGTGTGGACCGCTCAGTCTTCCCACTTGGGTACTGGGTGTGACCCTCCGAAAGGAGGCGCTGAAATCATACCGGAAATCACCGACCTTCTATTTTCATAACTGCTTTTCCACTTGTTCAACTTTATCCCTTATAACTGATTTTCGAGCCGCCGGGCTATAAACGATGGATTTCCCACCAACAATTCTGAATTCTCTCCATGTTGCAAGTTCTCCGTGTTGCAAGGTCCGCATTGTCACATCCCTCAACTTTTAATTTTTCACCCGCAGCCGTTTGATCAGCTTCCGCATGCTCCGCACCGCAGATCCCAGGAATTGCATTGCATGCCACGACTACATACACTTTACCACCCCACAACGCCACCGCTGCGGCTGAAGCCCTGATCCAACTATATGCCCAAAAGGGGCATGACCTGCACGCGTGCAGGCGGTTTTTGAGAAAAAGATCCGTTTCTCCACCGCTTTGTCTGTGCGCCGATCACGGCTTGTTGTGTGTGTCACACCCTGGTTCTAAGGGTTTTCCACGTTCTCACCTTTCCACTGTAACAGAGGCACGTTCCACTCGTTTACACAGAAGCAGGGGGCCAGCGCATGACATCACGACGCTGGCCAACGAAGCTAGTGCTGTCATGGGATGCGGTCAGAGACGTCTGACCGTGTACCTGCCAAGAAACTGTCGATCACGCTGTCCACTCCTTTGGTTTGATTCATGGCTCTTTCATGATACCTTCCCCACAAACAGGTTTCCCACAGCCACTCTTGCAGCTGATTTGCGCCGCTTCATCACCGCAGTCAAGGGAAACAACCTTTGTTAAAACACCTACAATTTCTCGGACTTTTCGCCATGCTGTTCCACCGCCTTCCTTCCCAACGTGGCAATTGAGTCTAACTGAAAACCAAGTTCGAAGTGTGTGTGAGATGGCCTCTACATAATGGTACATAAAAACGAATTATGAGTGTCAATCCCTACATCATGATTCTTACCGTGCGCGGGCCCATATGCGCGCAGACCGTTGTTGACATGTTTGGACCTCGCTGAGCTCACTTTCCACTCCATGGGGGCGCACCTCAACATACACCTAGACCTTCCACATCCAACTGAGCTCTTGCTCTTCCTGCTTGACTCCCCTTCACTCAGCAGCTCAAAGCCTCATGGCCCAGGACTACAGCTCCATCACCGATGAAGGCGCGCTGTGCACGAAGCCGCTGAGGTGCCAGGTGACCTTGGCGGGAAATCGCGCCAGTTTCCCTGGCATCCAGCACTGTAGCACTGCTGGCTATCGATGAGATGGAGGATTTGCGCAGGATCTGGAGAGGATGTGGAGGATTTTGCAGGAGATGAGGCCCTGTCACCCTGTTCGGCTGCCACCTTGAGAAATAGACGTCATGTTGCAGAGTCGTGCAACTCGTAGCAACGGCCGTGCGTGGTTCACAGGTTCTCGCCTTGTAAGGACGAGTCGGCTCATTCCACCGAGCGCTTGAAAACACCCCAAGGGTGCTGAATTCTCGGAGGGCCTGGCAAAAAAAGAATGGCAACAGAGCAGAGTTGGACAATTTGCATTTATCATTTATTGCACTTATTTTGATATCTGTTTTTGTTCTAACTAGACTAGCGCACCAGTCTGGGGCCGATGCGATGGTTTTCAGCGAACTGGAGGATTCCTTCCACAGATGTGGTTGTGCTCCATGCCAACTGGTTGCAGTCTTGTTGCCAACCTGCTCCCCGGCATTGACCATGCCTTCATGACATGTCCAGGATGATGATCAAGTCTGTGAAGTTTCCGACCAGTGGAGGACCGCCAGTGGCGAACCTGATCTGCACCAGTCTGGGGGATGCCTGTTCGCATGTGGGTAACCAAGCTGTGGGATTCCAAACTTTTTGCCCCTTGTTATGGCATGTGATAGTGGGATGGGACATGATTGAGTCGTTTCTTTTCTTAAACCTCGAGGACACATGTAACGATTGAGTGCTCCAACTGAGGGTGTTCGGGGGGGTTGGAGGGTCAAACGGGTAATGCAGGAGATGACAACACAGACGCCTTCTTCGACAGCGTCTTCCGGGGTCGCTGGATGAGCACTGTGGGTGAGCAGCGAGGAGCGGCCTCTTTTTTCGATCGTACTGTTTGGCGGCAGGTCGCGTCGGACTCTGAACGTTGTACTATATAGTGAGAGAGAGTGTGTTAATCAATCAAAGACGTGGATTGCTTGGCAGATGCCGATTCAGCAATCACTCAGAAATGCCTTCCAGCGAAGTGTATGGTAGAAGGAGTCGTAGAAAGGCCGGAACATGCATGAACATAGATTCCGTGGCCCAACTTGTGCCACGCAATGGAATTCATGATTGCTTGCAACGCTGCCAGGTGAAGAAGTGATTGATGAGTCCGAAGTGCTCCTTGGCTGAAGATGATCGCCTGCTGCTGAACCACTAGGTCACTAGGAGTATGGGGTAAAGACTGAAGACATCTAAAGACCATCCGAAAACTTTCAATTTGTCACCGTGTTCTAGTGTCACATTGGGTTTTTGGCCAAACTCTATTGTCTGATTGTAGCCAACTTAATCCAACTTAAGCGTCTCCTGTCGGCCATAAAGCAGATTTCCTTGAGATGCGCTCGATGTCTTCTGAAACTTCGCCAGGAGCCTGCTGTATCCTGCTGTGCCCGTTTTTTTTTTTGGGGGGGGGGGGGGGGGGGTGGAAGAGGCGAAAAAACAGATCTATGATTGTGGGGTAGAGGTTGAACATGTGTACTTCAACTCACCCCGCACCGCAGGCAGCACTTTCGAAAGGCCCGGCCTCAATTCAGCCGGGCTCACTGGCTGTTAGAGACCTTTGCAGGTGTTTCAAAAAGGGGCTAGTGGCCTCCCAGTTCACGACTGAGAATGGCTAAGACAGTTCAGACAGTTCCGGCATGTTCCGGCTTTGGCCTAGGCATGCCGCGGGTCAAAAAGAGGAGGAAGCAGGCAAGGTGTTTCACAGTGACGGAGGGCATGTTTCTGTAGTATGGAAGTCGTCGCGTGTGTTCGGTGCTCAAGAACGGGGACGTTGCCCAAAAGTGTTTCTTGGTTCTGTGGAGCACCGGCAGTGCCGATGCCTGGGCCTCCAGATGATTGGACTGTTTGCATCTAAGCTAAGCATCAGCAACCTTCCCCGGTTCTAAGCACAACGATGTCTGTTTCCAACTCATGCATACAAAAAAATAAAATACGTTCTTTCTACTGGGAGTGGTGGCAGTTGATTGTAGAGTTGTGCACTAGTTACTTGCTGTGCTTGCATGCGCATCATCTACTTCAGTCTTGGCCCACACAAATGTAAGAGCATGACAGAACTTGGTAGAGAAGATGAGCTTGCAGGACACTTTTATCCATGAACCCCCATGGTGGATGCAGGGCCTGCCAAAAGTCCAAGGACACCCCGGCTTTCAGCCTTCCGGACCCAACCAAGGCAAAGAAGACCAACTGCCTCCTAAACAGCAGCCACTTTCAGTAGCCTTGTTCGCACCGAGCCACAGTATCATGCTAGCTGCTATCAGATTGTGCTCCCAAGATGTTCTGGGCTGCCAGCAGCCCCTCCCGAATTCAAGCTTTTGTGCAGTCGGGCTGCCCACAGTCCACAGAGAACCTTCTAGGTTCAGGTCCTTAGGTGGGGCAGGAGACCAAACCCCAGCCTTCGGATGGGTGGAGAGTAACAGCCGCAGGGGGTATGTCTCAAAATTGGGTTCTATTGATGGATGTTCACTTATATACTGTTTCCAGACCATTTTGCGAGTGTTGTGAGACAAGCCCCTTAAAAATGCCAGCGAAGCTCGAATCAAGGATATAGGTATAAGTATAGGTATAAATATAATTAGGTTAGATGATTTGGCCATACTGGATCACGCATCCTAAACTCAAAACAACTCAAGACTTCGTGGCAGGCTCGCATCATTACCAACCACACGACTTGGGCGTTGTCTTTTCCTCCCCGACGCTCCGATCCTCGTATCTTCGTTTCGGCCAGTTGAAGCGGAAACCGTCTTTTGTGGCAAGCTCCACCAGTACGAAGATCTGTGGACGATGTTCTCTGAGAGTCAGCTAGCCCAGGACCACCCCAGCTTCGAGTGCCCCGTCTTTTTTTGTGAGGGCGGCTTTGGCCGAGCAGCCGGACACCTTGGGAAGACCCATTTTTTGGGGGCTCCACGACACATGAGGCAAGCATAATTATCAATGGTTGGCAGTTCGAATCTCTAGTGACTTCGGATGGTTTTGTGTCAAAGTGGATTGAGCTCCACTGTTGATCAGTGCTCCAAACAAGATAAACAAATTTCAAATTCCTAATTCTTCTTGCAGATGCCAAGTGGTAAGCCACTGACTATAGCTGCATCAGTTTTTTCACTTTGACCAACTCCTGGCGGCATTTCTGGTCCGGAGTGACCGACGTACGACGGACGGGACGAACCGCGCAGAGTCCGCAGCTACGTCAACGCAGCCATTCACCTCACAGATGCCGGGGACGGTGTTGGGACCGATTTGGGGCGGATTGATCCGCCAAAGGCCCTGAACTATGGCACCCTGGCTGACCATAGAAAGAGTGAGAGCGAAGGGGCGTGCATGTGTGGCTGGCACGTTCCGTGAAGCAGTAGGGTATGACCGGGCCTTTGCAATGAGTTTGTGGGGCTATGAAGGGGTTGATTTTGCACATGATTTACCACTATTTTGCATAGTGTTCCGTACTCTTGGGGCTGCTGCAGCAAGGGGGGACAATTGTTGTATCTAATGAAGAGCCTCATCGTGCTGACCTGAAGAAAGAAGCTCCTAAACGCAACTGTGCATGGGACACGGGTGCAGCACTTTGCATGAAAAGGACTTGGACCGCGTATGGGTCATCGGCACAAGCGATCTGAGGATGTAACAATTCACTTGCAATCCTCCGGCACGACCGCATGCTTTGCGCTATGTTTGGACCTGATGCCACATCAGATCTCTGCCATAGCTCATATCACCTCAATCCTTCAGAAGCTCAGCTGACATCGATGTGCGAGCCATTTCGGTCACATACGGGCACCCCAACCCGACCCAGCCAATCCGTGCAACTGGCGTGGGTGGATGTCTTGACCGAAGCCACGGAGCCACTGAGGAAAAGGACGTGTTCCTTTGGCTTTTAGGTGCTTGAAGTAGTAGGTTGGAGGCCATCTCTTCTAGGTTGGAGGACAATTAGATGAGGTCATTGTAGTCTTGGTAGAA